CGAATACCACTATATCAAGACGCTGTATTGGTGCACGCTCTAGACCACCAGAGAACCACGTCAACCATGCAGTTACCAACAAACCAGTTTTGACTGCGAATTGAAGGAACACGAAAAATGCACAGCTACGAAGATGGATATTGGCCTTTCATATATGAACTGCAGAAGACCATTAGAGGTTTGTACTGCACATGTCTGAGTAAAGCTCAACTATCAAACTACCCACATATTGACATTTAATTAGTTGCTTATTCCTTCACCTTTCAACCCAGAGACAACAGCTACGAACTTAAACGAAGGCTCGTTAATGGAAAGCCACACGCTCGCTGCTCAACAAATGTTTTCACCCACCTATAAGCGCATGAAAGAACTTGCCAAAAGTTGTCTTCAAAACCGTCCGGTAAGGGTGCATCCATCATTGCTGCCGAGGTCTCAATGTACCACGCATCTCAATATATCATGAATCTTTTGAGTGAAAGGTGGTCCTGTCGCCAACAAAGGCTGGAGAGGAAAGACAGTTGAGTAACAGGGATTTTTGTGGCAGCTATTTCGTGAGGGAAAAGAAACGGTATTGAGATGCTATTTTCGGTCCTCTCACAACATACCGGAATCCACGAAAAGCCCAGCACAGCAACAGTTTTAACTGCAACAAAAAGAACCGCAGTTATTCCATACTTTGAGTGGCCCCACCTATCATCATTGTTTTCTCTGCGATTAATTTTGCACTATTTTTTGTAGTGCAGCATGAATCCGAATTCCGCACCATGGGTCCGGTTCTCTTCTCAGCGCCCATGCCGTTGTTTCTCAAGTTCGCGACAAGTTTCTCATACAAAAACGCTTAAGCAAATCTTCTTCAGCGGCCACTTCATGGATCTTTTGCCGGTAGACAGCACCCTCGAAACCCCTGTCTCCGGAATGGGTTCCATTGCACTGAGTAAAGTCGATATTCTGCGTCGGCACTGACTAAGGTGGTCCAATGCAGCGCCCCGACCTTGTATGTTGTTCCACCCGCCAGATACTGCTCAGGCCAGCTATCCTCTTCACTGGATTCTGATTATCACCAACGAGGGACACTCTTCTGTTCAAGTACTCATTTGGGATCCTCTAAGATATAGCGGCCACTGTGTGCTGAACTATCGTCACCTCAGCTTTTGGGCTAGGAAGCAAAAACCCAAACATGAATTGTGAATTCTGCCATGCGAATCCTTATCGACCAGGTTAAAATGGGACCATGATCGGAGGGGGAGACATACGGGAATACTGTTCAGATAAGTCATGGGGCTGCTGCGGCGTTCGTCTCAAACAAGCCAGCGTGCAGTCGAGCAATCCAGCAGCTACTCAAAGGTTTGGGCGTGTTTTGAGAGTGCGGACCCAGCTGTTCTTCAAGATATCGAATACGGAATTTTGAAAGACGATCCGGTGTCTCATAGGACACAGAAGTACGGTAAACCGGAATTCCGCCGGTGTAACATACGAGAACAGACCACGATGCTTAACGTTTGTCAGAAATGCGAAACTGTGCAACTTAAATACACAAGACTGCCAAAAAAACAAACTGGTCATCTTCTTATTCACAGACAGAAACTGAAGGCCCACGACTGACACAACAGTGGTATCTGAAGCACACAACATACACCTAACATGCACACATTCTGCCATAACGAACTCATTACATTCGATCTTGAAAAGGTGCCACCACCATCAGCACCCAACCGGCTTCATCTCTATGGACGAGGGTACCTGTCAACTCTTGCACTTACCAAACTCCCTCTAGTGCACCGGAGATAAATGAAGCCACTCGGGGTTTCCAAAGAAAAAATCACTTGTATCAGCAAGTCATCCCCACCCGATGTTTCACCGGCCGCATGACAAAAGCGACCTCACCTCATTCTGGAAGGAAGCGATCGTCATACCAGTTTACGAATCTGGAGACCGCTTATCGTCCGGCAGTTGCAGATCTGTCAGCCTCACCAGCACACCGTGCAACATGATCGATCGCAGTCTGAATAGGGTCATTTTGATTCAGCTCAGTGTCAAAACTTAATGTCCGCAACACAGCATGGGTTCTATCCAAACGAATCCTGCATGACTGGTATGCTCGTGTGTGTAGACCGCCTAACCCGATCCGGAAACAAAAGAATCACTTTACATGCTTCATGGAAACATTTAGTCGGGACCTTAGTTTTCACTGCCCCCCCCAGGTTCGAAGCCTGCTTAAAACCCGTGAATCATTATCTAGTAAAGATTTTCAAGGCTTGCTTTAAGACCACCCTCTTTTCGACTCACGCCAATAATCTCTCATATGCGCCTTAATTTCACGCCCACTTTGTGTGAAGAACGAGAAATCGTGGGTTTCTCGGGCCAAGACCCTCCAAATGGATGTCAGCGCCACAAGCCAGTGGCTTCTGGGCTGGGACCTTTTCTCGAATGACGAGGAGTGGACCAAATGTCGTTCGGAGGAGACTGAGCGAGCACTTTTGTCATGCGTGATGGGAATAGACCATAGGACATCAAGCAGACAAGAAAAAACAAAGAAGGGTTAATTCATCTGATTCCCTCCAAAATGTCCCTTCACTCAACTATGAAAAATCGACCGAAATAGCGCTCGCCGCACTGCCGTGATTCGGCACATCTCTCCCTCAAAACTCCGCAGAATTCCACATAATCTATGGTGCCTATATTAGGCAGCCTCTTGAGAACGCCAGACAAAGTTTCTTCTCAGGACGAAAGAAATATTCATCTCCCTTTAAGCCTTCCCATCGAGCTGCTATGAAGATAGTTGCTGACCTCAAATCCATTGTTTATGGAACGCGTCCTAAGGTGCTTGAGCCGTCTTGACTTGATCACGGT